GGAGTCTTGGTGGCTTAGTGGGTTACCCATTGAGCTGCTATTGCAAGGTCAGCAGTTGGAAACCACCAACAGCTTTGTAGGAGCAAGATGAGGCTTTCTACTCCCAGAAAAATTGCCAGTTTCAGAAACCCACAGGGACTTTCTACTTGGGTTCTGTAGGTGTGTCAGTCCAGGTAGACTAGAGAAACAAATCCATAGAAACTCATATGAGTATAAGCGAGTTTCATATAAAGGGTAATTTTACATTAATAAAGCATCCCAACTCAATGCAGTCCACGCCCATAAGTCCATATTAGCCCATATATCTGATACCAATCAATAAAGTCCTCTTTAGGCTCATGAAACACATACAATGACACCAAATTCAGAGGATCACAGGCCAGTAGGTAGAAAGTCTTTGGATCCAGTGGCATTGTAAGCATCTCAGCGCTAGCAGGGGTCTCTATGTGGCTTCTCTGGCTTCAGAGATCTGGTTTCATTAGGTTATGCCCATGTGGCTTCTCCAGCTCAGGGCACTAGCCTCGTTCCATGTGTCTTGTCAGCTGCAGTGTCTCCCAGGGAGTGAGCAGAGAGAGAGGTGTCTCCTGCCTCTAAGGAGGAAATACAGGATTTCCCAGAATTCTCAGGAGAAGGCCATACCCACACAGAAGGCTCATTGGTTATATCTTGATTGACAGGCCAGACTCCACTCCTTCACTGTTAATCCTCTCAAATTGACACCAGATTATGTGATTACCAGAATAGGGTTGTTATGAGTCAGAATTGACTTGATGGTGGTGCAAGAGAGGACAACATGATTTAAAGGCATCAAATTTCCTTTGGCCTTCTTTATGAATTGTCCAGGTTCACATGTGTATGAGGTGATTGAAAATACCATGGCAATTATTGTACCTTTATCCTCAAAGTGACCTCTTTAGAGGTCTTTCACAGATTTACTTAAGGTAATATAATATTTGGCTACTGCTTGCATGGACATTTATTGTGGAATCAAGTAAAATGAAATTCTTAGCAACTGTAATCGCTTCTTCATCTATCACGTTGCCCATTTGTAAGGATTCTTGTTTGCTTTATGTTGAGATGTAATTTATAGTGAAAGCTGTCGTCTTTGATCTTCTCTTTGTGCTACAAGTACTCTTCCTGTTCAATAGGCAATATCACAGATGTTCCTGAGTCGTCCTCCAATCGTTATGCTCTCAGATCATTGGCTTAGCATACAGTTTGAGTGAATTTGGTGAAATTATTCAACCTTGACACATATTTTTTGTGATTTCCAAAGATTGCATTTCTTTGGAAAGGGCACAGATGTAGACATCTTCCTACCAGTTGGCCTGGTTCCATCGAAGAGATGAGTGTTTCCAGCATTGCGTCCATTTTTTGAAACCTCTCATTTTGGAATCTGCAATTCTAATATTGCCCGTGTCGTGTGAACTTTTTCCTTCAATATCATCAGTTCTTGATCGTATACTACGTCCTGATATCATCAAACACTGATCAAGGCTTTTTGTTACATGACCATGTGTATTCCTTCCATTTTCTTTTGATACTTCCTGTGTCATTTAATATCGTGCCCATAAAAACCCAACCCAGTAGCATGGAGTCATGTCCGACTCATATTGACGCGATAAGGGTTTCTGAGGTAAATCTTTGTGGGAGCAGACCTCAGTTTTCTCCCTTGAAGGAGAAGGTGGGTTTGAGCTGTCCATCTTGCTTGTCAGGTAAGCAGGCCAATGCTTACCTGATACCACCAGGGCTCCTTTATTTTACTCATAGGCTCCTTCAATATTACTACTCCAGGCTTGGCTTTTTTATCCCCAGCTCTTTCAGCTTGAAAAATGCTAAGCATGTTATTCCCTTTTACTTTTCTAACTTCAGATATTTGCATAATTGAAATATTCTGTTCAACCCTTGTACTTCATTATCTCTTACTGTTGCTTATCCATTCTACATTTAAGAGCAAGTGCTAAGTTTCTTATAACATCCACCTCAGTTTTATACCTTTTCTGCCTTTTTCAATGACCAGGGATCTTCTACTGCATGTCCAAATACCAGTGGCTACTGTCCTAGCTTCCAGCAGCACAGCAACTCACGAGACACCAAAGTTTGACAAATTTACAGATGAGGGGTAGAATAGCAAAAAAAAGAGGGTCGATAGAATTTTATTTGCCCTAAAACTTCTTAAAGTAGAAGAGATCTAATAAGATTGCCAGAGTCCAAATCCAATCCAAATCCAGTGCTGTGGAATTGGTCCTGACTCTTCATACCTTACACGAGATGGTAGGACTTCCTCAGAGGGTTTTCTAAAACGATAAATCTTTACACAATTCTACTGCTATATCTTTCTCTCGCAAAATAGCTATTGAGGTTGGTCCACTGATAATTTTAATTAGAAGCCCATTTCCTAGAAAAATATTTTAAAAAATCAGATTTAGACTAACATTCAGTTATGATAGGGGTGGAATTTTTTAGCTTATATCATATTTTATATATATACAGATATAGATGAGGGTATTTCAAGAAGTTATGGGAACCCTGGTGGCAATATAGTTGCATGTTGGGCTGCTATATTCAAAACCACCAGCCTCTCCACAGGAGAAAGACAGGACTTTCTATGACCATAAAGAGTTACAGACCGAAAAACTCCCAGAGGCCGTTCTACCCTACCCAATAGCATCCCTATGAGTCTCAGCACTGACTCTGTAGTAGTGAGAAAGAAAGAGAGAATACCTTTACTATGAGTCAAAATCGACATGATGACAGCAAATGTGAGGGTTTTTGTCTTCAAAATCTGGTGGGAAAAAATGGAGTTAACTGATAGTGGAATTGTGAAGCCCCCTCATATACATCTTTTTGCTAGAGTCTACAAACTGTAGTCATGTAGCCTGTTCACCTAGTAATGAAGGACATAGGGGAAGGTGCTCAGTGGCTCACCTCCGCAGAGTAGTTAAGACGGATACAAAGACACCAGCCCAGAGTCTTCAAGTTAGGAATTAACGACACATGTTGTAATAACAGTGACTCAAGTTTATGACCCCCTGAAGCTATAAGGGGGAGGGGATTTCTTATACATATATGGGTATGTACATAGCTATTCAGAAACATGAAGATAATTCATGTAGATTTGTTTCCTTAAATAAGAATATTTTTAAGAGCATGAAATTATATGGAACAAAGAAATGGGCTGTCCAATATTTATAAATAGAATGATAAAATATCAGCCAACGTATTCAACAACAACAGCAGTTGCTGTCAAGTGGATTCCAATTCATGACAACTCCACCTATGGTGTGCGGAGTAGAACTCCTTCATGGGGCTCTTGTGCTGTGACCTTTTCTGAGCAGATGCCAGGCCTTTCTCTGATGATACCTCCTGTTAATTCAAACCACCAGCCTTTTGGTTAGTAGTGCAGCACTTGACTGTTTCTGTCCCGCAGCAAATGCATGCTTATGAGGAAGTCTGCAGCCATAGCTGAGAATCACCCTTATAGGCTGCAGAAAATAAACAGAGGGTAACTTCATTGTTTTCAAGTGTGCACAGAAATCAAAGCAAGGGCCAATAGATGCCCTGCTGGAGCACCCAGTGTGATGATCCCGGATGCCTGAGAGACTTGCAAATATATTTGTATACATGCATGTATATAGAGACATACAAATGTGCTTGTATGTATATCAGTTACCCTTTAATATAGCTAACATTTGTTGTCAATATGCTGAGTTCACTATAAACAACCCACATCTCTTTAGAGATGCTGGATTTAGACAACTGGTTTGTTTTATGCAAACAAGTTTATTTTATGCATACTTCCAGGTAAAATTATGTGTTGCTTGGTGCATTCACTCATACATCAGGCTAAAGGGCTCCAGTGAGGTCACACTTGAGATTCCAAATGTCAGGAAAGGCCACAAACTAAGGTCTCTCAGTGTTTGAGGTGGTCGGAGTCCTAGGTCTATGGGAGACCATACACCGTCATAAAACTAACCCCGTATGGACACGCTGTGTTTATAGGAGGCCGCCAAGGAAGTGGATGTTTGGGTTGCATTCACATCTCACCTTCTCCTTTGCTCTCCCTCGGGGCTCCTTAGCCAGTGTTGGAAGGTTCTTGAGTCACTGGGAAACAGACTAAAGACTTGCATTTGCTTCCCCTTTTATGGCTTGTTCAGCTCAGCGGCATGGTTGGTCATAGTACTAACATGTTCTTCTATTTCCAGAGGAATTCAAGCCAGGACTTGAAAATCTCTAGTGCCCATATTATTTCCTGAAGCAAGCACTCCTGTTGAGACATTAGGTGCTATCTAATGTCAGCCATTGGTTCTGACTCATAGCAACCCTGTGAACAACAGGATGCAGCCCTGCCCGGGCCGACCCCATCCTCCCAATCATTGCTATCTTGGGAGCCCATTGCGGCAAGCAGTGTGTCAATTCATCTCATGGAGAATTTCCCTCTTTTCTGCTGAGCCTCTATGTTACTAAGCATGATGTCTTTCCCTGCGAATTGGTTCCTCTTCATAACATGCCCAAGGAGCCCTGGGGGTGCGCTGGGCAATGAGTTGGGCTGCTGTCAGGTCAGCAGTTTGAAACCAAGTGCTCCTTGGAGAAAGCTGAGGCTTTCTACTCCTGTAGAGTGAGAGTCTCATTGACCCACCAGGAGCAGCTCTGCCCTGCCCTATACGGTCACTATCGGCTGGAATTGCCTTGATGGCAACGAGTGAGGACAACATGTGCAAAGCGTATGAGTCAAAGTCTCACCATCCTTGTTCCAAAGGAGTCATGTGAAGGCATCAATCCTTCTCTGGTCGTCCTTGGGATAGGAACTTATTGCATCCTGCTGTTTGCTCTCATAGAGAGGATGACGCTATGAGACCCATGGGGGTAACAAAAGTTACGAGGTCTCCTTCTAGAACTGACATGTCAACTCATGATGTCTTCGCCAGTTTCGGAGCAGTGTTTAATGGAACTGGTTGTTTTCATGGCTTGGCTTCATCTTACTCTTTCCGTGTCTGCAGGTCCTACAGGTATGCATCTCTGGCAGCTGTTCTTGACGTTGGCACTGGCAAGCTCAAGTGATGCTTTTCCTGGGACTGAGGGTGAGTTCTGCTGTCCCATTCCCACGTACCAGTGTTTTGAAACAGCATTGAACTTTCTTTGTGAAATGAAGGTTCTTCGGATTATTTCATTAATGATGTGCTTTTTTAAAATAGTGACCAATTGAAAACTTGTCATGCTTTTAAAATCAGAAAGTGGGAGATGTTTAAGGAGGCATATCCAGCTTTGGCATCTGATATCTTCACATCAACATAAATGCTGTAATCACACCAAGAGCATCTCGGTTGAGAACACACCAGGTCCCTTTGTCTTGAGGCTATAGAAGAGAGATTGATAGGCATTGAGTGGTTACTAAGGCGGTGAACACTCAGTTTTGCCTATGACTAAGATTGTCATAGTCTATTTCCTGAGCTTAGAATTAAAGTTTCTTAATCATATTCTCTGAGAGCAGAAATTGCAGGTTTTAAATGAACTTAACCTCTTACTATCTGGGTGATAATCATTTGGTTCAGTTAGAAGGGATTAGATGCCTAAATTAGATGAATAATGCCCCCCAAAGTCATGGACTTCCTGGACCCATTGGTATAGGCTCTCCTCTCCTTTTTAGAACTCCCCTCCTCCTGAAGAAGTCTTACTGAAATGTCAATCTCATGGGCAAAATAACGGGACCAAAGAAGAGTAAGTGAAAGGGAAGGGTAAGAGGATTTTTCTGCCCGGGAGTAAAAACCCCTCATAAAGGGATGGGAGTCTCTGAAAGGTCCTCTTGGACACTTGATTTTCTTTCCTTGCTTGAACCTCAGCAGAGGAGGAAGGCAACATATTTCCCACTACATATTTCTCCCAAGCTGTAGCGTCATGGCCAGTTATTGCTTAGGGAGTAACAGACTCCCTAGCTCCCTGGCAAGTCCTATTGAAGAAACAGTGTGAGCATAGAGTTAGCACCTTATGATGTCCTCTTGACCTTCCATCCCAAAATAAGCCCATGGCAGAGGTTGGCTCAGGGTGACCAGAGCAACCAAGAAAATAAGAAGGATAAAATACGTTATTTTATCTCTTAAAGCAATTGTAAACTATTTATAGGAGAGAAGTCATAATTGTTTGAAATATTTTTGGGTCTCTCTGGTGTTAGAATGTCAACATTATGCAAGTCAAACATAGAGAGAATTGTCGGCGTCATGTCAGCAGCTTTTCCCATGGCTGGTTTTAGACCCTGGTTCTGAGCCAAACAATTACAGCTGAGAGCCTCTGCTGTCCCAGGGGTGGGTTAATCTTTACTTTCTTCATTAAGGTCACATTGATTCTACAAGGCAAGGTCTAAGGAATTCCACAAACACGTGGAATAAAAAGGATGGCAAAGAAAAGATAGGGGGAGCCATAAAATCCACCTGTAGTTGAGAGATTAGAGCTCAGACTGTGTTTTAAACCTAGGGGGTCTGCAGCTTCTACGCTGTAGTCAAGCTGACGTCATCAGGAGAGTGGAGAACAAAATGTTGCTAGGTGGTGTTCGGTGCTCCTGTTTTTGGGCTCATGGAGACCTGATGTACAACAGAACAAAACACGGTCAGGCCCTGCCCCAGCCTCACAATCGCTGTTATGGTGGTCCCCGTTGCTGCATCCAGTAATCCATCTTATTAAGGGTCTTCCTATTTTTCTCTGACCTTGTTTACGTTACCAGACCCCATTCCCATAAATATGTTTACATTCTGTTGCTTTGGATGGTTATTTGGGGGAGCTGGAGCATAACAAATGGTTTAGAGTCAGCCTAAATAGTATAACTTAGCAGAAAGCAATTTAGCACAGGAAAAATTGTTTCCTTTTTTTTTTTCTACTTTATTTTTTCTTAGTTGGCTAACTAAAAATCTCTTGCAATATGTGGCTGTTCCATAATAATACCTCAACATGACCAGGGGATTCTTGAGGATGGGGTATGTTGTTTACATAAGAAGGAAGGTGTGTGTGTGTGTGTGTGTGAGCAAGCTCTGGCTAATTATCTAATACATTCAGCCAAAATGAGCACATGCCAGGGGTTGATCTCAGATGACATTCATGGACCATGTGTTCTTTTCCCTGCCAGGTCTGGATTGCAGCCCCATCATTTTATTTTTCTCCCCCATTGTATAAGACAGACTGAAAATATAGGTAAGGAATTAAGGAAAGATACCTGAGTAGTTTCGCGAGCCAGTGGTATTCAATTTGCTTAGTGAAAGACGTGGGCCCTGCTGATTCAGTGAACCCTGGAAGCATCCCTGGAGAAAACACACCTAGGAGCTGATGGACGAGGGCAGAGCTCTCTGCCAAGGAGAAAGTTGATACTTGAGGCCTTGCCTCTAGCAGATGCTTGGGCAGATGAACCCAATTAGAAATATACTGGCCCTGGGAGGATTGTTTATTAATTCTAATTGTCCTAAGGGAGCTTCAATGAGTAGACACTGAACACTGCCATCATTATAGTATCTGATGTGTCATAATAGATGCTTTCTCTCTGCCTTGCAGCCATTAATTGAGGCTCTATATCTTCTCCTCCAGGCAGATTTACCTACCCTCAGAAAAACTTTTTATACCAGAATCAGGTGTTTCTGCAATGCCTTTTTCTCCAAGGGCTTCATGAGTTAAATCATCAGCTGATTACGTCAACATTGCTTCCGGAATGATTCTGTCAATGAGAAATCCACATAAAGATTTTAGGGCTAAAATTATAGTTCCAAGATGGTCCTGGTATATATTTGCTCATAAATCTATGTCATTCGGTGGCAATTGAGCATTCTCTGTAACCCGAGCAGTAGGAAAAGGTATCAGAAGTTCAAAACCAAGCAACCAAATCAATGTAGGGGTGGGGATATAGTGGAGACCCAAAACCCATCTGCAAGTTAATTGGACAGTCCCTCTCAGAATAACCACATGAAAGGGATGATAAATCAGGGTGTGGTATAGCACGGATGAAGCACATAACTATCCTCTAGTTCTTTAATCTTTTCTCCCCTTACTACTATGGTTGTTATTTGTTTTATTTCATTAATCATGTTAGACTTGCATATGCTTGTTTGCACAATTAAGATCGTTCAATACATGAAAGCCAGGATAGATAACCCTTCAGAAACAGTAACAGGAGTAATGGTTCCCTGAGGGAATGGGAAGTGAGAGGTGAGGGGGAGCAGCTGATAGCACTGATGACTGATAACCACACTCCAGCAAGCAAACAACCAAATTGTACATAATTGGATATAATGGATGGTGTAAGATGTGGCCAAAAATATAAAAATAAAACTAAGGGTTCCAGGGGGGGAGCTAATATCAAGGAGTTCAAGAAGAAAGAAAATGTTTTGAAACTGACTGGTAGCAGTTGTACAATGCTGCTCTATGTGATTGAATTATGGAATGTAGCGCTATCTCTAAGAGCTCCCAATAAGATATATAATTTTTAAAAGGCAGGATGGCAAGGCTCCATGTCATGTACCTTGGAGAGACCAATCCCTGCAAAAGGACTGGTAAGGTAGTGGGGGTCTCTGAGAAAGAAAATTCTTGAGGAAATGGATCGCCCCAGACGCTGCGACAATGGACGCAAGCAGAACAAGTGTGTGAATGGCGTGGCGCCTGCAGTGTTTGGCTTTGATGTGCACAGGGTCAATATGCTCAAAATCAAGCAACCTTAAGATCCACGTTGTGTCATGAAGACACGCTGGAATAATATAATAAATCAAGGTGGGATTGAATTGTTTTTCAACAAATTTATTACACAGCTACTTCCTAAGTACTTTCTTCCTACAAAGCTTAAATCTAAGGCTATGAGGAAGTGATTATTCTTTCAAGAATACACTGAGTTAAGAGATTATACATGTATGTAAAGAATTACCCTATAAGACAGTATGTATATTAACTATTAAAACCGAATTACAGTCTACAGTAAGGAACACGGGATAATCACTGCTGGTTGTGTGAATTAGAGAGAATTTCCTGAAGGAGATTGTGTTATTTTAGTGTAGGATTAAGATTTTAAAAGGCTCTGAGGGGCAATTGGCTATTGCAGCAATAGTTGAGAGAATTATATAGAAAGAACATAAACAAAAATGCACAGATTGTAGACACAAAGTAAATATAGACAACAAATCCATTCCATTACTGAGTTTAGACTATGTACAGGGTTCTGGGCTAGACAACTGGTAGGGCTATTTCATGTGTTTAACATTCTACATGTATTAAGAACCAACTTGAGGAGACACAGATGGAATTTGCCCAGAGTACAGGGTACAATGAGCATTATAAGTATCCACTTTCAGATGCAAGTCAGTAGCTTTGTATCAAATTATACAAGGTCTTGAGTTAGCAGTAGCTTCATGGAGGTAACATTTGGAGAGAAAGAAATGAGAGAGGGAGATTCAACCATATCTTGCAAGTAATACGGTGCCCTTCTTTCTTTATTAATTTGGGATTAATACAGGTAGCAAATCATTCCATAGTTCAGACACCTCCATCAAAATTGTACATATGCTACCACAATCACTTTCCAAACACTCATTTTCTTTATGGACCCCTTGCCATCATCACGCCTTCTCCCCCACCGCCACCTCTGGGCCCCCTTTCCCACAAAATCCTTTTTTTTTTTTAAACATTTTATTAGGGGCTCATACAGCTGTTATCGCAATCCATACACACATCAATTGTGTAAAGCGTATTTGTACATCATTCTCAAAACATTTTCTCTCCACTTAAACCCCCGACATTAGGTCCTCATTTTTCCCCTCCCTCCCCACTCCCCTCTCCCTCATGAACCCTTGATAGTTTATAAATTGGTATTTTGTCATATCTTGCCCTGTCCGACATCTCCCTTCACCCACTTTTCCGTTGTCTGTCCCCCAGGGAGGAGGTCACATAGTTCCTTGTAATCAGTTCCCTCTTTCCTACCCATTCTCCCTTTACCCTCCCTGTTTCACCACTCACACCACTGGTCCTGTAGGGCTCATCCTCCCTGTATTCCCTGTATTTTCAGTTCCTATCTGTACCAGTGTACATCCTCTGGTCTAGCCAGACTTGCAAGGTCGAATTC